ATCAACCTGTTTTTTTTTTTAATTTTATAATATACATGTACTTTATGTTATTTATTCTATACGTAATCTCGGGTGAAACCTTTTTTAATTCCTTTTTCCCTTTATAAATATTAATTATTTTTGTGAACTTGGATTCTCACGATAAGAAAATACTAAGCGGTATAAAGTCTTTAACATCATTTATTTAAGAAAAAAAAATAATGAAAAATTACATCATCTAAAAAATTGCTAAAAATTCCAGCTTATACACGTAACCTCTCTTTTTTCACAACAAAAACAACACGCCCACCTCACCATCCCCTATAACACTCGATAAAATATTCAATATTATTCTTATTCTACTCTTGTGAATGATTTTCCATCAGTGTAAATTTGTTACCTCTTATAAATAATTTCAACGTCCTGTATTTAACGTGTTTAACGTCAACGTCATGACGTTAACGTATTTCATTCGAAAAAACAATGCTTATTTTAAACACCTGTAAAATGAAAACTATAAAAGATATAGTTAAAACATAAACTGTTCTACAACGTACACATACTAGACTGTCATTCAACAAAAATTCATAAATGTTGAATACGGTGCGGATTTTGATGCTTCGTGGCTCTTGTTCTTTGGTATATTGAACACAAATTTAATAATTGAATGTAAAAGTGATATATTGCTTCACCTAGCAATGTGGTGAATTTTAATAAAAAGATGTCAATAATTATTGCATATTTTTTGTTTTCCTTACATGGTTAAGGAAGAAAATGTAGGAATTAAGGACAGATGATACAAACAAAAAATGGATGCCTGGATTGGTAAATATTTCTTGACTAAATTTCACTGCAAATGATGCAAATAATAAATTTCTAGAATATAAAGAAAATGTAAACCTTCTGTGACATTCAAATGCTACCCTTCTGAAGCCATCTTTATTATTCTATACGAATATTTTTCACTTCAAATTCCATTTTTGTGCAATTTTGAATAAAAATTTTAAAAAATATGCGGTGAAATTTATTTATTTTATACATTTAAACATGACACAAATGACTTTTTTCAAAATTTTTGACAAAAAATTGTATCATCTGTCCTTAACTGTTTAGTTTTTTCCTCTCACTTAAACAGATGGTTAGAGATATAGGATATAATGCTTCTGATGTCTGTACTAATATAGACAGGATATGTAAAGATCATTTGTGTTTTCCATCTCATTTTAGCTACACAAATACTAGAGAGGGAAGTTAAAACTTTTAAAATTAGATAAAGGCTGGTAGTATACAGTGGTAGAAGGAGGGGGCTACCCCCCCCCCCCCCATGTTATCTTTTGGTATAGAAATTTTCATTTTGATGCTCTGATTCTGATTGGCTGCTTCACTTTTTTGTTGCCACCATCCCTTTGAAAAGAGTTTTGAGTTTTAAAAGTTTAAATGTTTTGTTTCTTTATTTTTAGCTCTACTGGTTGAAGACCAGATGAGCTTATGTGATAGTAAGGTGTCTGTCTGTCCCTCACCCAATTAAATCCGTTGTTACAGTCCTGTACAGTGAATGGTTGTCGCTACTGTCTATCTTATCAACTAAGTGTTCTTTGATACAAGATTTCATCTCGTATTATACTGACACTGTGGTGAATGCAGAATTGTTTTTCCGGATGTTTTTTGAATTTTATTATAGTTCTTCTGTTGTTTACATGTGCTCGAGAATTATTTGTCTTTCCATCTCATTTTAGCTACACAAATACTAGAGAGGGAATTCAAAACTGTTAAAATTAGATAAAGGCTGGTAGTATACAGTGGTGGAAGGAGGGGGCTGACCCCCTATGTGTTTCTGAATATTTATCTTTCGATATTGAAATTTTCATTTTGATGCTTTGATTGGCTGCTTCACTTTTCTGTTGCCACCATCCCTTTGAAAAAAGGGTTTTGAGTTTTAAAAGTTTAAATGTTTTGTTTCTTTACTTTTAGCTCTACTGGTTGAAGACCAGATGAGCTTATGCGATAGTAAGGTGTCTGTCCCCTCACCCAATTAAATCCGTTGTTACAGTCCTGTACAGTGATTGGTTGTTGCTACTGTCTATCTTATCAACTTAGTGTTCTTTGATACAAGATTTCATCTCGTATTATACTGACTCGCATAAGAAATACAACAAGCAGTGAAATACAAATAAATGTATCTGAATATTTTGTGTAATGATTTTCAAAAATGAAGACAGTAGGTAAAACTTTATTTCGAAACATCAAAGCTTTCATAAGAATATTGAATGTCATTTTTTAAATTCAGAAGGTAACACATAACTCCCCTACCCCCTTCCCTTTGCCATTCCCAGCATCAAAACCGCCATACACAATAAATGACCAGATTTTTCCCATACATTAGATTTATCACTCTCTTGATCAGAACAAAAGAATGAAATCTTTGGAGTATAAGTGCCTCAGATGCTGAAGTCGAATTTTCTCGAACCTGGCGCAGTGAAGTAACCCTTGGACCTCCAGACCACAGACCGTCTTTTATGCGAATATTACACATAAATGACTGTTAAAAAATCTTCTTCTTAAGCTCATTTCTCTGTTGACTGAATATTGTCGAACTTCTGTACATACAGTGACTAAGGACTGTACACTTAAAAGTCTGTATTCACAATTAAAAACCAAGGTCGTTTGACTGGGTGTCTGGATCCCTGCCTTGAAGGTCCCTAGGGTTGGCAAGACAGTTATTGTTTTCCACAGGCGGATAGCCGTATTGTGTTTGGCAGGGTGTTCCACGGGCGGATGGCCAAGAGAAGATAGTTTGATCCGGGAGTGCTGCACACGATGAATCTAGATCTCATCAAATATACACTACTAATTAAGACATTTTAACTATTATAGTTTACTCAGATTGTTGATTTATGTTGTTGTTCAGTATAATTTGGCTGTGTATATACATGTATTAAACATGTATTACCAGTAAACTAAAAGGGTGTTCCACGGGCGGATGGCCGAAGAAAGTATTTGATGGGGGATTGCACACATAATTAGATCTATCAAATATACACTACTAATTAAGACATTTTAACTATTATAGTTTACTCAGATTGTTGATTTATGTTGTTGTTCAGTATAATTTGGCTGTGTATATACATGTATTAAACATGTATTACCAGTAAACTAAATGCTCTCTTTTCTTTTTTTGCAGGCTGTTTGGGCTGGCTGGGACCATGCTTCAGAGATTCCAAAGTTACCAGAACTCCTCCATAGAAATGGAATCATATTTATCTGTAAAATTAATCAATTTTAAGACACACTTTTAGGTATCATTGTCTGTAGACACTTTCAATTTTTTGTGGAAATTATTTTTGAGTGTATTTTGTAAAGAAATACTAATTTGTTATTTGTCTAACTCGATTCACATAAGGTGTAGAGTAATCTTTCTTGTTTTTGTACAGGTCCACCGAGGGATATGTGGGCCCGGGGGGACAAGATTGCCCCCTTTATTGTAGCCCAGACAGCAAAAGTCCCCACCATGCCATGGAGTGGATAGGTATTTTATATAATTTATATCAATGTTCACTAATGATTTTATTAAAAATAATTAATTAATTAAAAAAGTCATTTTTTTGAAAGTGTAAAAAATGAGATTGAAATATACTTAATATATACTTGTATAATGCTGTAATATTGTAATTCTCATTGCTGTCTGGTATAATGAGATTCATGTCACAAATTTATTACATTCACTAAATGATAAAACTTGAAGAAATATCATGTTAATGTTAATATCTTTAATGTCACAATCACAAAAAACAAATCTCCTAAAACCAGTCTTTTTTTCCCTAAACCATGTAAATTGGACCCCATGAAGATAACTTTATGAACATTTTCATTCCAGGCTTGACCCTGAACTACTCTAAGAGTGACAATAAGCCTGTGAACGTGCCCCAGGACCTCTACAGGAAGGGGTGTGTCGCGGACTGGGCAGGGGTTAATAGGGGAATAGATCGGGTTTCCTGTGATGATCAAAGCCTGGAGGGAGGGGGAGGGAAGGGCATCAGGAAGGCAGAGAATGCCGACGACTTCCCCCAAACTCTTCAGACAGGTATGGAATAGAAAAAGGTTTTTTTTATTTTTTTAGGGGCCCAAAGAATTGCAAGAAGACTTAAGCAAGTGAAGAATAAAGAGAGAAACCTTATAATAGAAATTATAGTGAGATGCAAATTCATAGAGTTTATTCCCAAAAAAAAATGGTGAAATTTTGTTTTAAGTGAGAGGTAGTTTTAACAGTTTTATAATGTAAAGAGAGATAGTGATAACAATTAGAAAGGAATAAAAAGTATAGGCAAATGGATATTCAATTTTAGCCCCCTCAGATCCCTTGTTGATAATGCCAAATTGAAATCGGTGTTAAATCTGCTTATAAAGAAATACACTCATTTTGTTTCCAACAGAATTTTTTCAATATTAGTTTTAATTCTAAGCTTTTATCAACAAGTTCTCTAATTTTGATGGATCTAAAAGAAAAAAGGAATCCTGTGTTCTAAAAATTTGGTGCAGGCTGGGGCCCGGGATCCCCCCTCTTCATCATGAAGCTGGCGACCCACGCGCGTCACCTGGAGGTAGGGTCCTTTGGGCCCATAACTCCCGGGAACGCCATCTCTCTGTTTGGGAGGGACTGCTATCCAAGGGGAAAATGAAGATCATTGAGGAGGCGCCCGCCTCTTGGCCCAAACCAAGGTGTTTTTAAAAAATGGAACAGGTAATTAGAGCTTTGGGGTTACTGTGGTAAAATCTGTTTTAAATATAAACTATTTCAAGACTTTGTATGCCAAGTAAAATACTATTTCCCCTCATAGTATAGAAAATACTTTTTTTTCAATTTGTATTTAAAATACAGTCTAACTTTAATACCTTTAATATAATATTACGAATATTAATATCCCGAAGTGATTTTGAGGTCCCCAACATTTAATTCTTTAAATGTTCCACCCATGCTTCGCAAATCCTTATTTACTTTTACATATTTTTTCCAATCCAATTGAGTTTGGGATAACAAGAATTGACTGTCAATGAACTCTGAGACATTGAGCAAGAGAAAAATTCATTGGTCACGAATTATCATTATATAGCTATTAATGTATAATTATTTTTCCCCAGGCTGCAGTGACCCTGGCTAAGATGGTGCGGTCGTCGTGCCGGTACGGTGGAGTATCTGTATAATGTGTGTATTATATTTTTTCTGTAGGAGAGTTTATAATGAGGAGCAGAGACGTTCCACTTCCTGGAGCTCAATCCACGTTTGGGGGAAAATCCGTGTACGGAGATGGTGGCCGACATAACCTACCGGCCGCTCAGTTACAGGTAAAGGGAAACAGGGCAAATTTCCATCGCTGTTTTTGAAATTTTGTAGTTAACGTTATAGAAGTGTATATTAGGATGAAATAAAGATTCTCTTAGTAAATAAATCTCCATGTGTGGAATAATGTTTTTATGTATGCCCTGAATATGGCTGGGGCATATAGTGTTTGTCATGAAAGTTTCCGTCTTTTTCCCTCCTTCTGTCCTTCCGTCTTTCCGCACACTTTATGTTTACTCTGTTTAAATTTAAGTTTCAAAGACACTATCCAAGATATTTTCATCAAACTTCATATGCTGATAGATATTGATGAGAGCTATGCAACTTCATCAACATTTTTTTTTCCTCGACCTTTCATTTGCCCCACTTTTTTTAAAATTTGTGTTAAGCTAGATTTAAACATACAATTCAAGATGGTGTAATCAAACTTCACATGTTGATACAACCTTGTGGGAAATGCATTCAGGATGAACACTACCAGACTCGCTTCCCCCGTGGGGTTTCTGGGTTGACCTACATTTTTCAGATGAGTGACCAGGTTTTTGGAGCAGGTCCATTCCTAAAGAACTATAACCCCAACTTAGACCAAACTTGCATGGATGATGCATTTAGGGATGGACCTCCAGATTTGCTTCGGATGCTGGATTGACTTTATTTTTGTTCCCAAGTTAATTCAAGCCCTACTGAACCAAACTTGATTGGATGATGCATCTAATGCATCGAAATTGTTTAATGTTGTGCCATGACAATACGTTGCTCTCATAAATGTAAATCAATGTACATACCGTACATATTAAATACAACTATACGACAATGTGCATGTTGGAAATTAACCCAAAAGGGCCATTTTAGATATATACGCTATATATAAAGATTGCTCCCAAATTATATACACCAACATGTAAACTGAACAAAACCCAGTGGACTTTATTTATTTATCAACTGTTAAATTATTAGTATAAAAATTGACTGAAAATATATCATTTGAATTTACGAATAAGCATAGTTGTATAACAACTAGATTATTTTCAAACTATAGTGTTTTTAAACTTAACAGTTATTGTTTAACTCATTAATTCATTTAATTCCTTTCCATTACACCACTGATAAACACAATTCAAGATGTCTACTTTTTTAATAATGAAAAATAATAGAAAAAGACATGTAAACAAACAGAATGGTTGTATAAAAAATACATTGTACTTAACTGCAATGTTATTTTTTGTATTTTACTGTGGATACTTGTACACTGTCAGTGTGTTGGTGTTAGATTTCCCCCATAGAGATTGTTCTCATATCCC